TGATTTGCTAATCTTTCATGATCTCCCTTTTATCGCTCTTTTTCATCTCATGGAAAGTAAGATGAAAAAAGTATAAGTATCTTCACTGATTATCAACTCTTTACTCACTGGTACAAACTTTTGACTTTCCTTACAACCGATCTATTGTTACCAAGCCGAGTTAAAATCCAATCTTTATTTACATGACTCGATCAGTTCAAAAAATTTCAAAAAATTGAGTCTATCTTGACTCATTGAGCATCATTTAGCTAACCAGCAGCAAGGCTTCTTAGTATTTTGCAGCCCTTGAAATGAAAATTTGACAAACACCTTTGTAATGAAAGGGAAATTATGTTGAAAGCTTAACAGACTGACTGTGCAAAAACAAAAGATATAAAAAGATTAACCAATGACTTAGTAAGTTTATCTTACTAAACTTCAACTTATCCTAATCACTAGATTATATCGGACTTTTTGACTTTTGAACTTTTTAATCATTGTCAACATGTAATCAGGAAAATACATGTATAAACCTTCCATTGGAGTAGCTAAAGATTAAATCAGTTGTTAGACATGTTTTCGTTTAAAATCAGCTACCTTTTAATTGTCATCACTTTTCAATAGAGATGTTATGATCTAATCAATTGATCGATTTTTTTCCTACAAAATCCAAATCGATTTCTCTCGCAACACATGATATACAAGTCAGGAGATTCCCTCTTCCATGATGAGGAAACTTCCGATGGAATCCTGATCATGATAACCAAACTTTAAGAGAAACCTTTTCTTTTAAAAAAGTGAAAAATGATGCAAAAACTTTATTTATAGAGTAAATTTATCTCAATTTTATCTGAATCAACACTTCACAATGAGATGAAACTAACAATGAAACTTTTTTCTATTTCACAATCTTAACTGTTTCAAAGGTTAGAAAAGATGAGCAAGTCAACAGCAAAATATTCAATTGTTATTCAATTTTTCCTTCTTTCCTGCTTCTGTTTCCACCTGAATCTCATTTTTCACCCAATTATCTTTTAGATAAAATCCATGAATAAATGGAGTAAAATTTTTTCATTTTATTCTAATCATTTTCATTCTCAACTACTCCTCCCTAATTACCTGATCATTTTTACTGTTAATCCTCGGTAGTTGCTACCGGATTGTCGATAAGCATTTGATAAACCGTCTATTTTGATTCACAATTGCAAAGTCCAATTTCACCTTCCCTCACAAGTAATCCCAGCCATCATGCGAGTCAAATATTGAAAACAACAGAAAGAAGCAAAAATGAAATTCGAGAGAAAAAAAATGTTCTAAAATGACAATTGAAAAGTTTTATTGTCAGATTAACAATGTTTTAATAACCAATTAAAGTGACTCTTGAAGACAACAAGTTTTACCTCATTTCGTGCGCCTCTTTATTTTGTAACAAATAACTGATATTACTTTTTACTTGACAGTTTTATTATGCTTTTTAAGACTTTACTTTATTATTACCATTTGCCATTATTATTATAACGTTTTATTTTGTTTTTCAAGTAATTATTATCATTAACAAACTAACTAACTAATTTAATTGTAACCCTGATTTTGACAGTTATTTATGAAGTTTACTTGCTTATTGTTTCACTTCTGTGAAATAAGGTGTAAACAAGGTGAGAGTAGAGCTGAACACAGTCAAGAAACACACAAAGCACACACGTTTAGTAATGGGTCTGTTCAAGTTTACAAGGTAACAAACCCTGTTGACTGACTGATGCTGTATTTACCTATTTAATATACTTACATGTATATTTAGAGACGTTATTAAATGCTTGCATTTTCACTCAATCTTTTTTTCTTGCTCAGTTATTGTAACAAGGTAAATGATTCTGCAACTTGTCAGGTTAGCTAAATGTTCATTAAGAAAATTGTCTGCAGATTAATTGTTTTTCGCCATGCTAACGATTACGATGATAATGGTTCAACTGATTCTCACAATTTATTTAGTCGTTTCAAATGTATCAATGTGAAAAGGGCAGTTTCTAAGGTTGTCTTTGTGACGCTGGATTTTGCCGTTTTTGGTCAGCTCAAAGAGTCGAACGAAAAGGCAATGTTTGAGATTGAATTTGCTTGACGTAAAGGATTGAAAATCGAGAGAATATTTAAAGATTGAAATTGGAAAAAAGCTGACTTTGTCTGAACGATTGGATGAAATTGCAGGTGAAATTTTCGTCTTTTTCCTTCTCTTTCTTTTGCTATCAAAAATATCTTTTTTTGCATCTTGTAACATCAATGTCGTCTTGAGATTCCCTACAGACTTGCAGATGAGGTTAAATAGCGAAAGGAAAAGACAATCATGTTGAGGTTAACATTGAGCTCAGGAAGTGATTGTAGCAGTTGATAAATCTTTGTTTCAAAAACTGTCAAGAAAAGTTGTAAAGAGCGTTTTTGTCTTTAAATCTCAACATTATGTTCAACATTGGAAATGAGTTTTTTTGCTGGTTTCACTTTTTTCTCCTACTTTTATCGTTGTCTAAACGTGTTATTTTGAAGTAAAAATTGTTTGCTTGATAGACAGGGAAATTGATCAATTTTACGTTTCTTTACTTTCTCCTATTTTGGAGTTTGATTTTAACGGTGAATAGGTCAATATTAACAATGGATTTGAATCATAATTGATAGCAAATTTAATGATCAACATTAATGATAAATGAATCAGTTGACGGCAGTTTTGAATGATACAATTAACTAGAAATGATAACAATTGAAACAAGTGCACCGTTTAATTAAACTTTGCTTCAAAATGTAAATGTCAAACTAAAATGTCAAACAATCAAATGTTCACTTGACTCTGAGTCTTGAGGCTTTTCCCAAGTTTCATGTTGATGTCAATTTTCGAAGCCAAATTTCACTCGAGAGACTTTTCGTTACTTATCTCGTGAAATCCAATTGAAGTATTCGAGATTAAAATGATTAGATTTTATGGAAACTATTGAAACTAAATATTGATTAACTCGATGGAATAAATGAGATTGAAAAATTGAAACAAACCCATTGTCAGATTGAAAAGGTAAAAATGTTTCAATTATTGATTTTGAAATTCAAGGTTATCAGTTCCTTTCTGATGAAGTTTGAAGGAAAAGTTGAAAATTTCAATTTATGGTTAAAAGGCTAAATGAGTTCGAGTAAAGTCCATGTTTGATAAGAAGTGTTATTTTCGCAATTTCACTCCTATTCTGTTTTTACTTTGGATTCTTTAAGTATCTGATTAGTATAGACGGAGGAGTGAAAATTGGTAAATTATGTCGATGCTTTCAATGTAATTATACAAATAGATGACATTATAATGTTGCCAATAGATTTCCTGAGCTGATTATTTGACAATAATTGAATCGTTATCGGTAAGCAAATACAAAATAGCCATTGGTTTTTGGGGCTAAAATTTTCAAATTTAAAAACAAATTCAAGATGACAAAAGACTGATAAGATTAGCAACAGCTTTTTAGTTGAGCATGAAATTGTTTTAAAACCTGGAAATGGGTTAGCTTTAATTTATCGCAGTAAAGTGTTGAAAAAAAAGTGTTTGCTTGTTGAGTCGAAAGTTGAAAATTCCGATATTATCTAGTGTCTAGGATAGCTCAAGTCAATGAGTCAAAGGTCTTGTCTCTGATTATAACTCTTAATCATAAAGGATTACCTTTTTTTTACCTTTGACTCACAAGTTTTTTCCAGTTTTGATGCTATCAGTTTTTATCTTTCCTTTACTTTCACCCTTTAAATAATATTCAATTAACCAATTACCATTCAAGTTGAAACTTGAAAAGGCCAACAAAACCATTGTTAACCAGACACTTTTCAAACATCAAATTGCAAATTGTTATCAAAGTTAACAAATCAAATATTAACCATTGAATCAACTTTTCAATGTTGTATAATTATGCTACAAGTAATTTTTATCTGAATCTTGAGCAAAAGTAAAAAAAAGGTAAAAAGATAAATGAAAGCAAAAAACCACTAAATCGTTAAGATAATGAAGAAAAATAAAAATTCATGATTTCAAGTCTCTTCAAAGATGATGGAGAAAAAAAAGTTGGTGACAATTTTTTTCTCTCTGTTGAAAGTTTTGATGTTTTTTTGGAAAGATTTCAACTGATAATACAAAATGAACCAAATTAAACTTTTCATGATTTTTGGCCTTTTCGTTAAGCTTACGTTGCCGTAGGCGTTTCAAAGGTAATTTCATTGGCAATAACAAGACGCTTTTTTGTTGTCTCTTCATTTCATAAAAACATGTTAAGAGGCAAGTAAAAAAGGTGATGTTGATGGTGAAAGAGAGAGAAAGAAAAGCAAAAATTCTGAAGAGAAAATGATGATATTAAACGTCATCATGCAAGTTTCTTGAACGATTTCTCTACTTATTGGAATATAGGGTATTCATGGAGAATTGATTCAGCAAAAGTATCATTTTCTTGTTTTTTTTATTTCTTTTTCTTCTTTTACCTTTGCACTTGCTTACTTTAATCTAAAGATGAAATCTCATTTCTTCTTTTATTCTTGTTTTTGTCTTTATATGTTCTGTTATAGGAAATTTTTACGGAAAAAAATCATTCCATGAGGAAGAGAGAAAAATTCATTTTCTCTTTTCAGACCTTTCTTCAATCTCTAGTTTAGCTATTTGTATAATCAAAAGATACTTTTTTTGTTCATTTTGCTTCTGCTTTTTTACTTTCCTTCAACATCATAATCAAAATACTTTTCCTCATCTTCTTTGCACCATCTTTAACCTTTTTTCTTGATTCATCTTTTGGCTCTTATCTGGTAACTCTATAGACAATGGCTTACCTTGAGGTTTTGTTTTAGTTTTAGTTTTATCCTATTCTAGATTACGCTTTATTGGTTAGTAATTTGTGTTTTGGGGTTTTGGTTCTTGTTTTGGTGTATCAATTTTGTTTTATTGATTGTTGGTTTTGGTGTTTTGCGTGTTTTATAGTTGATTTGGGTCAATGAAAGATTTAATGTAAAATTGATTGACAACTTACCTTCCTTGTTTGGTGATTATCATTTCAGTTCCAAGTTCATTAAATTTATCCCAAAGCTCTTTGTTTTCTAGGTGACATTTGACTCCGGCCAACTCTTCACAGTTGCATTTGGGTTTGATTGCATCGGCATATGGATTGGGTCCACATGATGAAGATGAACCGTCTTTAGTTGATCCGGTTGAAGGTGCAGGTGAAGGAGTGTTCCTGTCCAGAGTACCTGACATGGGTCGACCATCGTCCATGTTCCCTGGATGAGGAGATTCGAGGTGGTGTGAGGGTGAGGCAACAGGAGACCGAATGGGTGACCTGATGGGTGATCGTATGGGTGACCTGAGAGGAGATTGAATGCCCGGTGAATGGCAATCAAAGGAGCTCTCCATTGGTGGAGGTGAACAGTTGTAATCCACGTCAATTGAGGGTGGACTTAATGAAGGTGAATTGGCTTCGATTGCATGTTCATCCATTCCATTCTTGGTTAGTCCATGGGATGAGGTTGAACATGATGAGGTTGATGAACAAGAGAATCCATTTAAAGGTAAAGGTAAGGGTGAGAATGGAGGTGAATGTTGTTGATGTTGAATGGGATCGTTGGATGATCGACCCATGATGGCTTCGATGGAGAAGTCGGTTGATGGTCTATTGGCTAACGAACCTGATTTACTAGAGTTGTTGGTATTGTTGGTGTTGCTAGAGTTGCTATTAACAAGAGGTGTTCCTCCTGAGGATCTGGACTCAGTGGACATTGATGAACTTTTGTGATTACTGTTATTGCTCTTCCTCAAACCTGTGGTCATAACTAAATCCAAATTGGTAATAAGCATAATAACAAGTTTATCCTTTTGACCATTGACAGTCAATTTAATCCAAAGGTGAATCAAAGTAAACTGAGTTAAAAAGAAAGGGTCAAAGGTGACTGGATGATGATGGTGGTGACGATGGTGAAGATGACGGTGTGATGAAGATGATCAAGAAGATGATGATCAAGTTGATGATGTCTGTCAATCAAAAACAAAACAAAACTGAGAAACAAAAATATGATTAACAAGACAAACAAGAAGAAGTAACGTTTGTTATGAGGTCAGGCAAAATTGGATAAAAAAGGATGAGAAGAGAAGAGAGAAGAGAGAGAAAACAGAAGAGAGAAAAGAAGAGAAGCAAGAAAGAAGATGGAGAAAAGAGAAGAAGAAAGAGAAGAAAGAAGAAGAAGAAGAAAGATGAAGAGCAATTGTAACCAATAAGAAGAGTCTCGTTCCTCCCATTTTCCCAATGTAACTTTACTGTTGAACCATTTTAACTCAACCTACTCAGCTTATACTTGGGTTACTTGAGACTCCACCTAAACTCCCTTTACGGAGTCACCTTATTGAGACTCCTTATGATGATGATGATGAGAAACGATGAAAAATGATGATCACAAATGATGAGAATGATGAGAATGATGATCACTCTCAACTCCTCCTTAAGGGTCCATAAATACAAGTATTGATTGGCGCCAAGGTGTCGAGTCCTCGGGTCTCTCTAATCATAATCAATGACAACAATTAAACATAATGAAACGCCGACAACATCTTATAAGTATTAATGAGTATCACAATTATCTGGCAATTGTCAGCAACCAAACAAATCAAACAGCAAACAATCTTTATTATTATTCCTTATCATCATCATCATCATCTCACCTTTATTATTCATTTCATTATTTATTGACTTCTTTATATTTAAATACACATCACCTCATATTTACTGTCATACTTTTGCCCCTCTTTTCATTTCATTCATCCTCTTGAGATTAATTGACGCCATCAAATCATCATTAAATGATAATTTGTGCTTCTGTAAACAAAGGAATAATAACAAAATGTAATTAATATTTCCAACTATTCAGACTCGCCATTTGCACAAACAAAATCAAATCAAATTGAGTTTCTTTAATCAACCCAAAGTTTTCATCTCAACGTTTGAACAGAAAAGTAAAATAATTGGAAAGATGAAACATGAATTTAATGAAATTGTTGACAAGGTTATTTTAACAATCTTCATTTACGTTCATCATTCTAATTAACATGAACATCTTTTAACCAGAGTTCTTGAGCTGATGATGAGCTTTTCTTTGCGTTCTCTGGCTTAATTCCATATGCTAGTTTGAAATGTTGTGTTGAAAGTAAAGTCTTTACACACAAGAAGAAGAAGAAAAAGAAAAGAAGGAAAAAAATTGTTGGTTGTTATCATGATGATTATAACGACATCATCGTCAGGATCTTGGCTGATGACGAGGTTCACTCTCAGTTAGACACAATGGTAAATGTTGATAATGTTAATCTGTTAGACTTCAACACATCGTTTGAGAAGCAGTGAGAGAATCTGGAAAAAAAGGTAAAAAAAAAGAAGAAACAAAATGAGATTTTCCTTTATCATTCATATCGATTGATAACTTGAAATTATATTCACTGTTACCAATCAACTCCTACCTGCCATCATTAATGCCTGTATTAAAGATGATTTAAAAGATTTTCATTTCCATTAATAGATTTGTGCTAAAAGTGTTGCATTATCATTGGAAACCATATTCAATAGTTGATTGAAAAAAGAGGAAAAAACGAAATATTTTCCTCGACAAAAGTAACTCAAAATTGATATCAATTTTCATTCTGATATTTGTTAATCGATGAATTTCGTGTGTTGCCAGGTTAACTGTGATTAATGTTTAATGTTAAAGTGAAGTACCAGATAAAGCCAGGGAATTCAATAGCCCCTCAACCCCTTTGACTTTACTTTTTTCACTCAACATCAGTGACTTTACTAACATTATCTGGTACTTCATTTGTTGAATAAAACTGATTTTTTGTTATTTTTCTTTTCCATTCCCTTGTTCAATATGATTCGATTAGTGATGAATTTTATTGTTGCAAAGTTTCCTGATACTTGTTTTACTTTGAGTACTTAACGGTATTGTTATCATAAATTGATAAAGTTGTGACTTGCTTAGTCAATTTTCGTAATGGCTTCATGTTTATGAAAAGATTCAACTTGCTTTTGGACGATTTTAAAATGTTGAGATGCCTAGAGTGTCATCTTATGGACTTTAAAGTAAACAAATGTTGAAACTCAATATCGTTGGACTTCAGTCTTATCATAGCTTCTTAGCTGCCATCTACTGATGCAAATTTGACTCTCCACTAAATCCATCTTTTCAATTATTTTCAAGTAAAAATATCTTTCTGATCGTTTTTGAATCTTTATTATGCCCTCGATCAGGTCAAAATGTTATTCAGAAAAGTGCATGATTAACGATAATCTGTCGAATGTGAATAGAAAAAGTTATTTCATGATAAATACAATGCATACAATACTTCAAAGATTTAAATAGCTCAATGAAATTGCGAGTTTTAAGAATGATTTTTTTAGAAAATGTTTCTTTGAGTAATTCATCAATAAAGTTCAGTGTGAAAGTATTGGTAAAATATATTCCAATTTTTGTGATGAAAATTTGTAACCAATTCTAACAATTACCTTTCAGTAGACACTAAGATTGAGATATGTTGAGTTATGTTTGCAGTTAGACATCGCGATGTGAATCGAAAGTTCTTATGATGCTTAATTCTTGTTATTTAGATCTTGCTGTTTTCTGAATTCTGATCAGCATAATCGGTTTGTGAGCTCATGAACTGATTAAAGTATAAAAGGCAAATAAATCCAGGGATCTGGAAAGAAAGAAAACTTTTGTGGTAAAAGGAACACAGTTCGTGTATATTGTTGATGTCAGACGGACAAGGTCATTATACCAATCGATTCGGAAAAGTCCTCATATTAATGCATCTCATTGCACATCTCATTGTCCATAAACACTCGAAAATTGAAAGCAAGTCTGAAAAGGAGGACAACTTTTTGCAACAATAGATGGCAGTTTGAAGCAACTTGTTTTTCTAACTTTTAATGAAAGTCAACTTTAAGCAACTAACATTTTTGTCCGGCATTTGCAGTCCTTTTACAAGTAAGGATGAAAGTTATTTTTCAAAAGTAACCATTTCCATCTGTAACGGTAATCCTGGATAGCCATTTTCTGAATGCTGCCATCTAGACAAGTTAAAGGTGGGAAATTTGGTTTGTCTTTTGGTCCTAAAATGTGCATCGCAATGGCTGCTATTGAAAGTTGATCGGATTTGGATGCTCTAATATTGTGCATTGAATGAAACCCAATGCATTGTTGAACAATGATAAGAGATGAAAAGTGTTAATGCTATAAAACTTTGTTTCATGTCTGCTCATTGAGATAAAGTGAAGTGGTGCTCTCAACTTAGTATCAACTTTATACACAAGAGCTCTATCTCAATTCAAGTCAATACTAGTTGAGATGAGATTAAATCAATTTTTCGTTTCTCAATAATAATGCAAAAATAACGCAATGGTGATCAAATTTTCACCAAGTCTAGGCAAACTGGCGCTTTCCAATCTTTTATCTTCCCAATGAACACACAATTATTTACACAGTAATCATCAAGCCGTAAAGCATCTTTCCTTCACAGAGGAACCTGTTGTACGATTTTCATATTTACCTTTGATTTGTTTACTGTTTATCCAGTCTCAATTTCTTGCTACTTTCAACAAATATTTACAACTTTTACACCAAAAGTTTTGATTCACCTTCGCTTGTAGCTCACTCTATTGACCCAAAAACATAACTCTAGTTCACTTTAACCAACATTAGATGGCAGCTTCTTTCGTTTTTCGTTTTCTGTTCCTTTAATCAATCGACAGTCACTTGACCAATAAAGTACTATCGATGTCGCCCGATTGATCCATCCATTCCATTCAAGACGAAAATCTGACGAATGACAAAAATCAACGATTAGCATAATCTTTAATCAAATAAATTCTAGATAATCTTTTTTCTGGGTTAAAATGGAATGAATTTCATGCAAAAAAGACTTGAATTTTTTGTTTTGTTCTGTGCAATTAAAAGTTCTGGAGATAAAAAATTTGAATTTTCAGATTCAGATCATTTCAATTTGAAGCAAAAAAATGTTTTTCAGCTTAAGTCTACACGATTAAGCATGAGATTAAATTGACCTTTAACAGCAAGTGGTCAATTCAGATTGAAAAGACTGTTTGCTCAACACCATTTGAGTAAAATTGAGTTTTTCTTGTTTTACTTTTCTCAGCAAGATTGTCTCGCCTTAATTTGTCAAAATCGTAAAATTAACACAATTTGTTGCCAGCGATTTCAAACTTTATAAAATCTCTCTAACTCTTAAACCAAAAACAAGATCAGTTGTAATCTAGAACTCAAGATCGAAATCAATACTGAAAAGCTAATTTTTTGTCAACCGATTGCACTTCACTTTGGATTTTACAAAAGTTTGTAAGCAACAACATTAGCTGCTTGATTCTTGCTTTTTGTTGAGTTTTTGTAACTCAGGCTCAACTAACGACTGGATGAATCTTTCATTAACAATTAATATTATCATTAGCCATTAATTGCAATTCTTGCAGAGAATTGTCATTTCATTTAAAAAGTAAAACTTGAAAGTTAAGCTTTTCGTACATAATCTTGAACTTTTTCAATTTTACCTAAAGATTAACTTGAAATAAAAGGCCAATTAGAAGGTAAAAGCAAAAAAGTTCATTTTTTACTATTCAGATAATACATGATTCTTGCTGTTCATCTGTTGCCTTTGCTATTCCCAATCGTCATTAGGCATCGCAATTGCTTCTAATGTTACCTAGATGTTTACATGAGTGCAGCTAAAAATGGAATAATCAAGTTAATCAAGTTAATCAAGTTAATCAAGCCTTGTTATGACTTCGTTCAACCTTTACTCAGTCCGTTTTACATGTAATTCAAGATGCAAGAGAGAAAAGGAAAGAAGAAAAAAAATCTCAACTCATTATCATGCAAGCTGAAGTGTTCAGGTTATAAGTAAATAAACTGAGTAACAACGACAATATGAATCAATATTTATTCATCTTCTTTTACAGGCAACAAATTGGATGAACAAAAAGAGGAGAAAATGAGTGAAGAAGAAAAAAAAAGTTAAGAAAATTGCCTTTATTCTTACTGAATCACGCAATGAACAAGAATTTAAAAATGAAAGATAAAAACTGATTTTCCAAAATAGTAAATAAGATTGGAATGAAGCAAAGAGAGGAGAGAAAAAAATTATCCAGGAAATCAGAGAAAAAAAGAAATGAACAATTCGAAATGATATTTAACCATTTCAAATTGCCTGTAAAAAGAGTTGAGAAAAAAGATGAAAGTAAAAAATAATTCATTGTTGACTAGTCAAAACCCTGACATGGGTTCAACTATTATCTGAATAATCATTTTATTGGTAAATTTGGAAGGCAAGAAAAAAGCCGATTTAAAAAATTTGCAAACAATTTTAAACGCTATTTCGAGTTTAACTTTTTTCGCACTTTGAAAGGTAAA